GGGGCGACGACCGAGCTGGTATAATTTTTGTTAGCGTCAATACCATGAGTGGCAGGTGGCTGAATTTTGCCACGGTCTCCAACCCTCCTCGTTTCTTATAAATGCTTGATACTGGCAGCGGCGGAGTTCTTGTTTTACTTAACGGTTTAAAATTAACTTCTTTTGCGAAGGTTGTGTGCTAATGAAGCAGTGAGACTATGAAGTGATGGCATTTTTTATGTCACTACGGGAAATGTTTTTAGTTGAAGAACGCAACGGCTCCTTACCCGGACAGAAGGGTTGGAGGCTGTATGGACTCCATATGGACTCATTGATAACTCATGGGTTAGACGGCTAACGGACGAGTAGCATTATGTCTTTTATATCGGAAAACAGAGAAAAACCATTCTTCACTCATCTCCGTGATCAGCTAGCCACTGTAGATGTTGCCTGTTTATATACGTGATTTGATAGTGACATTTTATTATCTCATCCGTTATGGTTACGTGATTTGTGTTTCCGAGCAGTTATCTTTCTCTGCTATATTGCGATAAGTTGAATTTCAGATGCTTTATTTGGCATATTTAGTCACTGACTCATTAATTTCGTGTTGTCTCTGATTTCTGTTCTTGAGTGTGTCAATCTCCGAAACTTTGCGGCTTGTAATTGTAAAATTACCAGAATGTTTTAAAATCGCAGATTGATAGGTAATACCACGTAAGTTTGAAGGTTATGGAACTGTTGTTCGTGCAGTATTAGTTTCATTTTTGATTTCAGAACAACTGAAAAATGGCCGCCACTGTCCCCGGAGCGTTAGTGAACAAAAAACGTAAACATTTCATTGGGATGCCTGCCCCTCTTGGATACGTTGCGGGCGTCGGTCGAGGGTATGGTTGCATTTGCGCTAGCCTCATTGCGGATTTAGCATGCAAACAAAAAGTTTTTAGTGCTACCGGTTTTACCACACGGTCAGATATCGGTCCTGCGCGTGAAGTTGGCGATGTCAGGTATTCGAATTTTGAATCGTGTTCACGTGGCGCAGCGCACGCAAATTAATGATTGCTTTGCATTGATTGGAAAGTATTTAAGGTTATGCAGTACTTAGTTTTAATGTAGAGTATCAGTTAAATATCGAGCTACTCAGAGATTTATGATTAAGGGTGTAATTATGGAGTTGTAGACTTCCTAAGAAAAGGAAGGCTGCCAGGAAAATTGTATTTGTTTTGAAACGTTCAGTGAATCATGTTTTTTATGACGTTTCTGAACCTTGGCTCAGTGCTTTGAAACACTTTTCATACTTTTGCTGTTTTGAATTCAGTTCTTATTTTATTAACTGCTGTCGCTGTTGATTTCTGTAATATCGCGTATTTGATAATATGACATCTGAGGCTTAACATTCTTGTTGCTTAAAAAGATTATTGAGGGAGGAAAGGTTCTTATGTGTTACTTTGTTTATCTCTCAAACTTCTGTTAGTTTCGTTATGGTAGAGCATTGACTCTCCATTTCTGGCGTGTTTCTTGAGGATATTTCTTGCTTCATATTCACGCCGTGATATCCGTTGATCTACCTCAAATAGGATAACATTCAAGTTATCTTTTCTGGACATCGGCTCAGTATGTTACGATTGTTAATTTGATACCCAAGCTAACAGGTCAGTAACAGAGGTAATTGATATACGGTGTAATCATATCATTTTGTACAGCGATCCTGTATTTTCCCTGAGTAAGTCAGTGTTGTGGTTGCGAGAAATTTGAATCGTCGTTTGCATACTTCTCTTAGCGGAATCGTTCTCAAAAATTGTTTGTTTCGTAGTATATAGCCAAACGGCATTTTATTTAATGTAATAATTAACTTGAGCGATGAACGCCATCCACATCCTCCAAAGAAGAAGACCCCATCAGGCAAGGATGACGAAAAGGAGGAAGAAGAAGAGGAAGAGGAAGATTTGAACGATGCTAACTACGATGAGGTACGTTATCATCAGTCACTGTTTGTGCAAATGCATCATATGCAACTATCACGAAAACTGTAGTGCTACAGTACTTGAAATTCAGGCAATAGACTTATAATATTATCACTTGGAAACTACTCCGATGATTTTCTGTACCGAAAGCCGACATTTTTGAATAAGAAAAATCTGTCCCGCCTAGAGCCTTTGCTTTGTTTTAATTTCGAACACTTTAAATCTGTTCCATTTTCCATCAACTTGTTTAGTTACTAAATGTCGTCGGTTTATGGGAACGGTAAAGTTTGGGCTTGGCGACCGAAAGGGAGTTTTGATCGATACTTCTTTGGAGTTTCGTCTCAGATTTATTCCTCAGTTTAAGCTGAATATCATCGTTCCTTCCCCCTCACCTGTTTTTATGTCCTCCCAAGTTTTTGATTTAGTGAAGCAGCCTTGTCTCTGGTTCATTTCAATTCGATGATGAAAATTTAAAGTCTGGCGGACGCCGCATCTTTATCTCCTGTCATTTTTGGTGTAATTCGTCTTTTCAGTTTGAAGGTTACGGTGGAAGCTTATTTTCAAAAGATCCTTACGACAAAGATGACGAAGAGGCCGATGCAGTTTATCAACTGATAGATGAACGCCAAGACGAAAAACGCAGGGAATACAGGTATGCAACGTCTGCTCTTGGCCTATTCTAGATTTGGCCGCGTTTAAGAGAAATGAAACTGAAGAAACTCATTGAAGAGTATCGGAAAGAGCGGCCTAAGATTCAGCAAGAATTTTCTGACCTGAAGGTGAAGCAAATATCGAATAAGATTTTGTCCTGTTGAAGGCACTGACCATAATTTGGTTTACTGTTTTGTTGTTTAGAGACAATTAGCACAAGTGAGCGAAGACGAATGGGCGAATATACCGGAAGTTGGGGACGCAAGAAACAGACGGCAGCGCAATCCGCGCAGTGAAAAGTACCTGCTTTGCACTGGATGCCTGGCGATATCTGTTTTAGCACTTTTCATTTAGGTTTACGCCGATACCGGATTCGGTTCTGGGACGATACGCATACGGCGATAGTTACGCCGGTCTCGATTTTCGGCAACAGGTTAGTTTCGACCGCGGTGGCAAGCGTTTGTTTCGAAAGTCTTAATATGAGTATTTTTACCGGCTTAAACGACGTTACTGCGCAGCATTGTTGCTCATGGTAGGCTAGTGACAGTTTAGTAAGGCAATGGTTTAATTGTTTGCACGTCCGCAGTTCATCGATACATCTCGAAAAGATTTACAAATGCACATCGGCTTTTGGCACGCCGCCGTATAGATGCTAATCGGGTTGTACTACTGTTACTGTAGTAAAAACTTAAATACAAGAGTAAAGTCTTTCATGTTGTAACGATTTTTTCATCATCAGACACATTTTGCATAGTTACACTGTAGCAAAATTGCCTGACGTTTTGGATTACCTCCTTATCCTCCTCATGGGACAAACTGCACGTGCAAAATATGTTATTAGAACGCAGAAAAATAAATTGAAGATGGTTACAATAATTCAGACCAAATTCATTGCACAAATATTATTATTGACATGAAAAGAGTTTACAGAATATTTGGTACAGTTGATGTTCATGATGTAAGGGGTTATTGCCACTGCTCACAGATAAATTTGAAAAAGTGAAGTTGCTGTATTGAACTCTTGCACTGTTGCATTTAGTTGTACGGTGGTACGGTTTCTCCGTTTCCTGGCATTGCCAGTAGCATAAGTGGTATGCGCTCTGGCATTTTAACACCCGGTTGGACTTCGAGCACGGCAAGTTCAGCATCAACTGACTTAGATCTGCGTAAAATCGGACAGGCGCGTAATCAGCTGATGGACATGAAACTGAATCAGGTATTTTGTCGGTGATTTGTTAATATTGGACAAACAGTGTTAAAACTATGGAAATTTGCACTACTTGTGTTGAAAGTTGGTTCCTCTGTTGATGCTTTAGTGTTTGTTCCCTGATTTTTCTTTTCCCTTATTCATTAAAAGACACTTCTTGGCCTTGCCTTGAAGTATGTCCCAGTATGATTTTTCAAGTTTCGCATATTTAGGTATCTGATTCGGTCAGTGGACAAACAGTAGTGGATCCTAAAGGCTATCTTACAGATTTACAGTCTATGATACCAACTTACGGTGGTGATATCAGGTGAAAGACTAACGGCGTTGAACGTAGCTCGCATAATGGTTTGATTTTAGTGACATTAAAAAGGCTCGGTTACTCTTGAAATCAGTTCGTGAGACGAATCCTAATCATCCTCCAGGTAAGGATATTTTTCGTTTTTTCGGTAAGTATCTTTGTCACAATGCTTCATTTAACTTCACTTTCCATGACCGCTTCTACTTTCGGGTCGCGAAGGCAGACGTTTCAGACAGTGCTTTCAGTGTTCCCGATCCTGTGCCGGCGCTTGAACTTCGCCAGAACAACCGGAATCTAAAGAAGGCTCCTTCAGTACACTTGCCCCAGATTAATCTTAGCCGTCCCCAGGGTATTCTGCCGGTCGGCTGGGAAGGCATTAATTCCTTTGCCTTCCTTTCTGAAGGCATTCGAAGACACGTGCCCAGACACTGCAGCTCTGACTTCTCAGTCTGAAGAAGCAGCGGCTGTACACAAACGCTCTCGGATTTTTGTACTCCCGATGCTATCCAGACGCGTGAGGCCATTCATTCGTATCAGGAAGCCCATTTCATCCGCATGTACCCGGGATCAGAGTTTTCTTGTCATAACTGCGACTCATGATCATAGGTGGCCATGGCGATGACGATCGATATTAACACCGAGAGCTTAGTCTACAGACTCTGCTCTGCTTTAGTTACAACGGTTCGGGCTACTCTCTGTTCCAGTTCGCTTATCGATCTCTTCCTCCCATTTTTCATCATCAGTAAATATTTTCTTGATGCGTTTGAACATCACCTGCTCCACTACTTTTTCATTTATCTGAAGAGAGCAACGGGCAAGAGAACGAGAAAGCACTTCGTTTTTCGCTTTAGATACGTCGGACTCGTCGCAGTCGACGGCGAACCTTTCCAAAGACCACTGAAGATCAATTTCAGATAATGCCTACAAAATAAGATCGTCTGCAAACAGCAACAATCTCGTCTCGATATTTTTTACACTCATCGCCCTCGCTGCACCTGACCGTTCTATCCGTGCAAAACACAAATAGGAAGCCGGAGAGAACTCACCCTTGGCGGAGACCAGTGCCAACGCTGAAAAGCTTCGGCTTAATGTCACTTGCTCTCACCCTGCTCTCAACGTTCAGTGATTGGATGGCCCATGGCAACTGGCCGTCGATTCCATGTGTTTCCAGGCACATCCAAACATAGGCTGTGGCATCCGGTCATAGGCTTGCTCTAGATCTACAAAATCTTAACTTGATGAACGAACTGAGACGACTTCTGAACAGTCTGGCGTAGGCCGAATATTTGGTCAGATATGCTTCGGCAGAGCAGGAAGCCAGAATGCTTTTGTATTTTGGAGTTAGTTTTCCGCAGCACTTTTTTGGCACATTTGCGTAGACTTTATCCGGGAGGCTTAATAATACAGTGCCCTGATATTTGGAACACTTCCCACGGTCTCCTTTCTGGATCATAGGTACTACAACCTCCGTTTTCCAGTATGCTGGTGTCTTCCCCGTTGCCACTGCAGCTTGACTTACACGTGTAAGTCAGCATATGCCATGTTCGCCTAATGCTTGATGCATTTCAGAGCTAGTTTCATTTTTTCTAGCAGCCTTTCCACAGCATGTGTGATTTCATCTGCAGTGATACTTATATCAGTTTCCTGCTTCTCTTCAGGTGAGTCTTCCTGCGGTTGCTCGGGGTTAAGGAGTCCCTCCATCAAAGTACTCTCCTTCGCCGAAGGATATCCTTCTCCGCGGTAGGAGGATGTCCACACCTGTCCTTCAAGACTCTTAGACTATCCTTCTTTTCTCCTCGGAGCCGGTCGATAGTCTGGTCTGAATACCTTGTTTGCCGTCTCGAAATTCGGCTCTAACACTCGCCAAACTTCTGCCCGGAATCAGCTGTGGCTTTCGCCAGTGTTTTCGCTGCCTGCTGGCGTGCTTCATACCGCTTGTGAGTTTAATGCTCTTTGCTTCCAAGCTATCTTCTGAATGCAGCCTTCTCGGTGACAACCACTTGTACCACTCGTGCCCAACAGGAGGTTCGTTTCTGACCTCCAGGCGGCATTCTAAACCATGTCAAACCGCAGCATTAGGCGGCAGCCAGAGTAAGCCGCTCTCATTGAACCTCCACTATGTTTATACATCAGCGGTTAACACCACGATCTCTTCAAACGGTCGTGCGTTGGTGTTTGCTAGTTTTGCCTTTTTCTCTGCTGAAAGTAATGCTTCCAATTTCATTCATTGGTTTCTTGTGCCACCTTGTTTTCGTATGGTATTTCATTTTTCACGTCGTAGATGCCAGCAACAGCGTGATTATCGATTGACAGCTCTGCATCTGTCTTGACGCATACACCAATTCCATGGAGTTATAAGTTTTACCATACGGCAAACAAGTTATTCTTCGATTTTTGTGCATAAGCTTCACTATACCAGGCATACTGATGCGCGCTTCGATGCTCAAAAAAGGTGTTCATATCAGGTAATTCATTGTTTGCATAAAACTGCAACAACTTCGTGCCGATATTGTCGAGGTCACTATGGCCTTTCCAGTCGCGTGTTTCCACTTTTCAGTGTTTGCTCTGAGAGGCCGATTAAAATCGCTCATTAGAATGAGGAAATGCGTAGTCGGCATTTCGTACAGAGCACGTTCTACTTCCTGGAAAAGGAGGACTCATATTCCCCTTCCAAATTGGACGCATTGACTGTAACAAGGTCAGCGCTTTCGCCTGATGTAGCTTCAGTCGTGGGTTTGCCCCTCTTCCCCTCACAGACTTCCATTCATTGATTCTGTCATCGGGTTGGGTTGTATCCAAACACCAACTCCGGCCTGAGTGCGCATCGTGATGTCTTCACCCGAATAGAATAGTATACACCCGCAGGTTTTCAGAATTCTAGAGCCTTAGTGTTTCGTTGACGAGAGTCCAACTGTGTCGCGTTGGTACCTTATGACCTCATCAACTAGCTCCTGCTCTTTCCCTCTTAGTGAAGATATTTCGCAAATTTCACGTGGACTTCCCATTTGCTGCATCGTTCTCTTTGAGCTTTATATGACGTTCAGTGATGGAATCGTGTTGTCTGCTTCATCCGTTCAGAACGGGTTTTGACTCCGTTACTGATTGCATCGTTGTCGTCGTTTTGTCAACTTTTGGCAGTCGTTATCGTGTCCGCAGCCGCACGCGGCTGCCAGGAGGCGATGAACAGATGCTGTTCACCAACTTTACTAGTCTGCCTCAGTCCCCCAACGGCCTGCGCCGCGTTTGGTGATTCGGGCTAAGATTGATCTGGTTAATGTTCTGTGACGGAAATACCATGAGTTACAGGTGGTTAATTACTTGAGACTTCGCCACGGTCTCCAGCCCTCCTCCTTTCTCATCCGGGCTTGAGATCGACAACGGCGGAGTTGATGACGTGTTTAATTTTAAACATTTTTGAAAAATTTTATTTCATTCATTGCATCCTTTGAATGTAGCAAGGTAATCAATCAGCTGATTAAACAAATGAAACAGATAAGTAAATATGTTTGTTTCGTGCAGTAAACGTAGAATATCAACAGTCTTACATTGCAACCACTAGGCAACAAATTAAAAGCATGAAAACTGTTAAATACTAAACGGAACTATCGTGCAACAAGAGCAGACTGGCTAATGGCAGGTGTGATTTAAGAGAATTATTCTTTATTCCTCAGTGCAGTGACCGATGTCTTTTATAGACTTCGGAAATTATTTGAACAAAAAATAAATTAAAATTGCGTCATTGACATTCTCTGTTCATGTATGCCATATGTTTAAAAATAACATCGTCCTACCTCACTTTTGCATTTCTGTCCTATGCTTTCCGAAAGCAAATTTTTCTTGAGGCTTTATGTTCATTGCAGAGTGGTGTACCTAAATGCTAAGAAAAGTTCCATAAGTAAAAGAGCGGTATTTGGCAGATGTGGTGCCTCTATCGCTTTGAGTCTAAAAATACCTGAGGTGCACATTTTCTGCATCATAATTTAGTCGATTAAGTTCTGAACCGGTAATGAAAAAGTTGTTACTTCGAATCCGTCAAGAATTACTCACCTTCTACATCGTCATCAGTTACATCCGATCGGCATTAAAGCCTTGATTGTACTAGCTGTTACCTCTAGCGATATCGACGTTTAGTTTATCCGATATTCTTAAATTGAGTAAGCTGCCTCGTTTATGTTTCACCTTGCTTATTTGAGTCACATAGTCACCCGTGGGAAACGCGATTATGAGGTTCTGTTGCGACTGTTTCTGGCCACTATGAGGGCGTTGTGGGCAAGAATTTTTGTTTATTGTTTCGTAACAGTGAACAGAGCGATTATTATGTTGATGAAACGTTGTCCAATAAGTTCATGATGAAGTCAGTTTATGTTGATGAGCAAGCTCTGACTGCTCAGATGGAACGCTAGTATATTACTGGTGTCCTTGTTCTATAGTGTCCAGTCTCGATTCATGCGACGATGCTAACGGAAAGACAACTCGCTGCGGAATATAGGTACCCTGCAACAGGATGCTCGATGACCGGACGTGCTGCGTAATGAGATCGAGATTTTTAAGCACGTCTGGCCTGCACCATTGTTACAGGTTTGCAAATTCGTGAGATTGCACAATTTTTCTACTCCTTGAACTTAATAGCCACCCAGTTTAGCAGCAAACGTGCCTCTTGGGCTCGTAAATTCATCTTCTGTCAAGGATATTTATATCTAGTTCATTTGTCATTTAAGGCTGACAGAATGACCGAAAACAACGCTTTAAAATAGGAGAGTAGCGTCTTTCCTAGCTTCACTTGATTTTCTCTCGTTTCACCCTTTTGAAGTTGATTAATAGAATAGATGCGTAGGAGGCATTCTTAGACGCAGTGCTTCTGCTGAGGTATTGACGCAGTGACAATTTGCCCTGTTTAAATATCAATCGAAAATATGGTTTTTTGCATTTGATTGCTTTGCGCTAGAATAAATAGTACTTTCATGAGTGATAAAGAGGCATAAGTTTATATCGTGTGCTTTCACTAATTATGAATATTACTTTCAATAAACGTGCCATTTCTCGCTGACAGTGTTGAAAAGAATACGAATATCGGTCAGTGGGGTTTGCTATAGAGGAATGCTGCAAATGATATGCGTCGTGCAAGTGTACAGGAGATC